TGTTGTTGTTACTATCATTATTATTACTATTATTATCATGATTATCATTATCATCATCATCATTATCATCTTTTTGACTATCATTATTATCATTACTATTATCATTATCATTATTATTATTGGCATCATTATTATTACTATATATATCATTACTGTTATTATTATCATATGTATCATTATCATTGTTATTACCATATTATTATTATTATTATTATCATATTTATTATATTATTATTATTATTATTATTATTATTATTATTATTATTATCATCATTATTATTATTATTATTATTATCATTATTATCATAATTGTTATTATTATCATCATCATCATCATTATGATCCTTTCTATTATCATTACGATCCTTTTGTTATTAAGATCTCATCATTTCTTATTATCATTATCATGTTATTATTTCTGTTATTATTATCATTATATTATTGTTATTTTATTTTTGTTATTATTATCATTAATATTACTATTATCAATACTGTTATTCTCATTACCATTATAACCATTATCACTGTTATTATTAGCATTATTACTATTGTTGTTATTTTTATTATCATTATCGTTATTGTTGTTATCTTTATTATGCTCATTATTATTACCGTTATTAATTATATTATTATTGTCATTATTATCTATCATTACTATTGTTTTAGTATGACCATCATTATTATTACCATTGCCATAATCTGTATCATAATCATTATCATAAATATTATCATTATTATCATATTTTCATTATCATTGCTAATATAATTATTATCAATATCATTATCATCATTTTTTATTGTATTGTTATCTATATTATCATTGCTGTCATGATCATTATTTCCTTTGTTATCATCTTTATCATTACCATTATTTGCGTCATTATTATCATCATTATTAATCATTGTCGTCATTAGGATCATTATCATCATTATTGTTATCAATATCATTATTGCCATTAGTTTTTTTCATTATTATCATTGCTGTTATTATCATCATTGTTATCATCATTATCATCATAATCATTACCATCAATTATTGTTATTATCCTTATTACTATTACCAATATCTTTATCATTAATTTCATCATTAATAACAACATATATTGTTATTGTCATTATTATCATAATCAGCATTACTATTATTATCATTATCATTATCATATCATCATTATCATCATAAGCATTGTTATTATTGTTATTATTATAATTGTCATTATTATCATCATCACTATTGTTATCATTATTATCTTATCATCATTGATATTGTCATTATTACAATCCACATTATCATTATTATTTTCATTATTATTATCATTATCATTACTATTATCGTCATTGATTTTAATTTTGTCATTACTAGGCTATTATCATCATCATCATCATTATTATTA